CATAGCTGCGGTTACATAGACATTATACATGTCTACCTATACTATTACTCTGCGCTACTATGTTGCCTACTATAGCGGCCGTGCTGTGCCACGTAAGTGGGTAAGGCGGTCAGTCATTAAGCTCATCAGACAAGTAAAACTCATCAATTACCGCGAGAGAGAAAGAAATGCGCGCAAACACACGAACACGACGCGAGCGAGCGACCGCGCAATCAGCGTGCGTGATTCATGACATCGTCTGCGCCTCCCCGTCGGTCACACAGACGCCCGCAGGCAGCACGTCATTACTCGTCACCGCGCGCGACGCGCATTGTGTCGCGTCGACATCGTCGGCGACATAAGACGCGCACGCAGCGACCGACCGAGAGTGTCATTAAGAACCGGTGACATACTTTCCGCCGCGCGGCGCGGGCCGACCAATCACGAACCGAGTTACGCCGACCGCCATCTTCGAAAACTTTCGCACAGACGATCCTACCGTACTGCCGCTCGTTCGACAGCGCCACCGCGCGCGCATCATCGCGACTACCCGTGTAGAATTATAGCGATGTCGCGCGCGTGTTTGCCGAGACTTTACGCGTAACAGCGTGCGGTAGTTCCGCACAATTAAAAAACCCGCGTCTTATATCCAAAGACAAACGACGCCGAACGAATGAATATCTATTCTCGCTAATCGTCGTCGTCGACTGTGAACTCGAATTAGGGCTGCGACGTCACGTTAGTGGGCCGGAGCGCGTCGGTTCTCGTATATAAAGCGAGCGCGGAGAGCCGCAGAAGCATGCCCACTTGCAGATCACCTGTCGACTGACTGAGGAAGCAAGCATCTTGGTGAGTTTTACTTATACTAGCTCGTTACGTCTTTACTTCACATAACTTGTTCACTGTCTCATATTTGAGTTTCGCATAGTGCGCTGTCGTTGCTTTAGCTTACGACTGCTGATGCTATCGAATAGCTTATATATCCTGAATATAACTAAACCTATTATAGCTATATATACCAATATAACTATACCTACTAAACTATATATAACTGGGTGATGTATATAGAACTGAGAGCACTGCACGTTTTGAGCGCTTCGTAGGGCCGTTCCGTCGAAATAGTCCTGTATCGTGTAGACGATGCGGACCAGGAAGCGTCATTTCTACTCCTTAGCATGACGGGTCCTGTTGCAGAAATTTGTTGAAATATCAGATGACTTTTAGATTGCAGATTTTCTTCGGTTTGCCAGATACGTATTAGTTAGTAGTCAGCTCATAGATGCAGCTCTGTGGGTATAGCATGCTCTCTCCTCTGTTGTGCGCGTTGTGTTGCTGTCTCTCTCTCTTTATTTCTATCTACCCTCTCTCTCTCGCTCTCGCTCTGGCTTACTCTCTCTGCCTCTCTCTCTCTCTCTCTCTCTCTCTCTCTCTCTCTCTCCTCTCTCTTCTCTCGCGCCGCGCTCTCTCTTTATTTCTTGTCTCTCTCGCTCTGTCTCTCTCACTGCGCTCTCTCTCTCATCTTCTCTGCTCTCTCTCTCTCTCTCTCTCCTCGCCTCTCTTTCTCTCACGCGGCCTCTCCTCCCTTTATTTCTGCTCTTTCTCTCTCGCTCTGGTCTCTCTCTCTTGCCCCCCTCTCTCTCTATCATCTCTCTCTTCTCTCGCTCTCTTTTTATCGCTCGCTCTCCCTGTTCTCTCTCGCTCAATCTCTGCGCCGCTCTCTCTTTCATTTCTCTCTTTCTTTCGCTCTGTCTCTCTCTCTGCCTCTCTTTTCTCTCTTTCTATCTCG